CGCACATACGCATCCACACACATACAACTCCTCCGACAGCACGGTAGTAAGATTAGCGCAAAAAGGCACTCGTCCGACCATTTTAACTCTGGTTCAGTCGTCTGTATGTTTGCGTGTCTGCGTGCTTAAGTGTTTGTGTGTTTGTGAGTCTGTTTTAGCTCAGTTTAGTCTGATCTTGTGTTGGCTTGAGCGCATTCCCTCCGCGCTCCGGCCTGCCTCGTGTGCCCATTTGTGACGGGACACGAGGCCAGAGCAAGCGGATGAGACGACGGCTTTCCACGCCTTCAGGACGAACCCCGTCGTCAGGACGAATGAATAAATGGTCGAGGCGAGGCGCTAGAAGCCAGGCGCTTGTGGATTCATCCGACGAGCCGACCGGTTGGGCCAGGCGGCGGCCAGCAGCACTTCTGAGGCGCCTGGTCTGGGCGATCGGCTCACTTGGCCCGCGGATCGATAAGCCACTGATCGGACTGATTTGCCCGTCCACACTGGCCCGACGCCTGCGCGTCGGAAGTCAGACGGTTCAGCAAGATTCGACAGGCTGGCTCGAGTAGTCTGGCCTGTCTACCTGCATGCCTGCCTGCCTGTCTGGCTGCCTGCGCGCTAGCGTGTGCTCGTGTGTGCGTGCGTGCGCTGGCTGGCTGGCGACCTGGCGGTGAGTGCAGGACTGCACGCACGCAGGCACGCAGGCACGCAGGCAAGTAGGCGCGCGGGTAGGCAGGCAGCGTGCAGGCGAGTAGGGCAGACAGGCGGCCGGGCACGGGACAAACATAGCGTATTATGCCAGCCAGACTGTCTCGCACAGACAGGTCGACTGATGAGTGTGCTGGCGTGGAGGCGATCCGCAGCCGGCCAATCAAAAGGCGGCATTCAGCACCGCCGTCAGCCGCAAGCCAGCGGTAGCATGCGCGGCTGCCTTGTCCGCTAGTCGACTCGGCCGCACACATCAGCCCAACCCGGCACACCGCCGCCCGTTCAGCCCGTCCCGCTGGCCCGATCCGTCAAGCCTCACTCGTCCTCCCTCACGCGTCAGTTCACCTCTGCCTCGGGCTTCCGTCCTTCGCCATTTGTCAGCTTGTTCGCTTGTGAGTCGGCCGCCACCTCCCACCGACCACATACGCACACGTACACGCACACGCACATACGCTCCCGTGTGCGCAGACTAGCGTTGGAGCGAGAGGGCGAGAGGAGTGTGTCTGCTGAGACAGTTTAATGCGCCCCGAGGCGGTTGCGACATGTCTTTTGGCGAGTAGTGCTTCGCCGGCTCAGTCCCTCCGTCGAGTCTCCCGCCACGGCGCCCGTTGCCTCGGTGTGTCTCTGTGTCTCCGTGTCTCCGCGTATCTGCCTCAGTGCCCCTGTCCCCCTGTCCCCCTGTCCCTCTCCTCCTCCGTCCGACGGACACTGCCAGATCAAGTTGAGGCCACCGCGACCGGATGAGTCAGTGAGTGAGACCGATCCAGTCGCGTCGCGTCGCTCGTCTGGACTACTCCTCCTCCTCCTTCCGAGGAGGCCAAGCTATTCTCGCGCACGCCAGCCCGACCTGCCTCAGCCGCTGCGCCCGACAGCCCCGGCCTCTTTGCCCGCCGCGTAGGGCCCCTTCGTCCCTCGGGCCACTCGCCACTTGCCACCTGCTGCTCTCTCCACCGCCAATCGTCACCGGGCCCTCTGGTGGGCCCGATTCTGTCGCCATGGCGCCGGCGCGAACCTTGAATTTGCGAGGCGGCTCCATGAGCCCGTCGAGGCAGTGCGAGGCCAGTGTGCTCAAAGTGGGTGGCGACCTCTACGACGAGGCCGGCTACCGAATGGACGTGACCGTCTGGTTTCGGCACCGCAACGAAGTGCTCTACTGTGAGTCCCCTTACTCCTTTACCATTCCTATCGCACACACGCACACACGCACACACGCACACACGCACTCGGGTGACACGACGCGAAAAGGCGCCAACTCGCCATTTGCATGCCTCACGTCGAATTGGGCGCTCGCGACGCCTCCAGCGTCAGCCGAGGCGGCCCGGCGCGCCACTGCCGGCGTAGCCTGCAGAGGGCATCGATCCACACGGAAGCCTTCAGAAGGCGCTTTGAGCGGACTATTTTAAATTGGGCCCGCATCGATTGGGGCAACTTTTCGCTCGCCAAGTGGCAAATTCAAGGCGCACTTTGTGAGTGATAGTTTGTGCTGGCCTCGAATTGAATTCGAATAGAAAATAGGTATTGTTGGAGGGACTTTCATTTCGTATGAAAGTGCAATAAGAGACCTGTTGGTCGATCTCACCAGATGAGGACGAATGAATCCAGTTGTATTGCAGTCTGCTTGCTTTGATACGATGTTTCTGGTGAAAACGGGCATCAGAGTTGGGTCTCATCTTATTTAGTCTCAATCAAACAAAAGAATTTTAACAAACCTAGATGGATAGAGAGTGGTTTGGCTAATTATCTTTCATACTGGTCCTGCTACTTTTGCTCTTCTTCATGCACTTTTATACGAAATGAAAGTCGCCCCAACAATGTTATCTCAGGAGATTCATCGAAACCCAGTTTCCCTTCGTATCGAAAGTAAGTAGTTTTCGTTACCATGCGTAGACGGTGAAGATGATGCAAAAGGAGTGATTGTGGAGTCTTCTATCTGCCGCTTCTATTCAAGGTCCACCTGCAAGCTGACAACATAATAATTATAAATGTAAAAACGTAGTCGATTGTAATGGGAAAATACACCTTCTCCTCCACCTCTCTTCACTTTGGTGCAACTTTCCTCCGGCAACTTGGTCGGCACGAAAGAGTAGCCCTTGTGGAACGCGCCCAGTCGCGCAGTTTCTGCCATGCTAGACATCCATGATCATTTCCAGCATCGCAACGTTGACTTAGAAATTGTCAGGATTGCGTTTATTTATCAATCTGACGAGTTGTAATGCCTTTCATTGCAGAATCCGACTGAAAAACAGAAGAAACATTTGGGCATGTATCAAGTCAGCTGTACAACGCTGCGTGTAGCCATGGCAACTGTGGGAAACATGCAGCTCCAGGTATTCTCCACAGGGTCCCATTTTGCACAAACCACGTTCCAAAATCAAGATTATACCAACAAAACACTAGATATTTAGGTATTTGCAATTTTCGGGTTTATCAGTGACACTTTGATGAGTTAAAGTGACTCAATGCATAAGAGATTGTGAGGATTTCTCGAATTCAAATCATACTTGCAGACAGGCAAACACAAAGCCTGGCCCTAATTCATCGGAATTATGGAACGACGGTGCACCGAGGAGGAATTTGTACAAGTCACCAGTTTAGAATGTATATTATTTTCGCGACTATCCTCACCTCTTGAATGAGAACTTAGTCAGCCTAGGTTGTTCAATTTGATGCAGGAAGTGACAGTAGTAGGCATTTTTACACAATCAGATGAATTGGCCTCAGGATGCCAGTGAAGTTCACACTTATCTTTGCCTCACAAAGGCGATCTCATTGCATACTGCATACTACTCACTGAGAAGACAAGTAATATCGTGGATTGCAATGGGAAACACAAATTGGTTTAAGCTATAATCGCACGATAAAGCGTGATTTCGCTGAGGCTCGACTAGCCATGAATCCCATATTTGTTCTGTGACCCCCAGCAGCTGTGGTTGCTATGCCCAGTGGCTTCACGGAACGACGATACTCACGACTCGAGTTCGAATCCCGTTTGTGGATGGAGAAGAGAGACAATGAGGCGAGGTTTGAGCTACAGTCCAGTTCAGTCCAGTTTGGATATGATGGCTATTTGGGAGTCAAGGTTGAGCGTGAACTTCGATGGTATCATGAGGCCTAGTCGTGTGATTTCCGCCAAAAGTCAGGTATCAATTCTGAAATGAAATAGAAACGACCTGGGCTGCCTAAGCTCTTTGTCAAGTCTATAGTCATAACTCCTTCGACTTCTGAAAGGGCCGACTTACGAATCCTTTCTACTCGCCTCGTCTGACCGAAGTGAAGCGGCTCTAAATGAGGCCACACACACGCACAGAGGATGAATGAGGACAATTGGGTCTGTGAAGTGTGAAGGC